CTGTGTCCTCACTCGCATCTCTGTCTCTCTTTGTATCTAATTTTCCTGATTTTCCTCACTTTTTGTTTCCCTCACTACAATGGTTACAAAAAGAAAATGGTGGCAGTATCTCTGGAGTGAATCCTGACCCACTAGTTGAAGATAATCAGTATACTCAATACCCTGTTTTCATATTCTGTATAGTTGGTGGGGTTTTTTTACATTGAAATGGACACAGACAGCATTGAGGAAAATGTGTTTCATTGGCTAAGAGTATCAATTTAGCATGAGCAAAAGCAACAGTTGGATCAGTTTTTGATGCGGGTCTGTCTTACTCGTTTGGAGTTTTTATTTGACTATTGCAATTCCAGATGATGAATGGAGACAAAGGTGCATTCCTGCTTTCCAGTTTAAATGGTTTTAACTTTATGTGGGAAAAGATTGGTGGACAACTACCCCAGAGTTTTTTGATCTACTGCCATTAAGTGAATCCCTTTTGCAAGGCGAATATGGCATATATGGTCTGTTTTGCTGGATTATTAAGAAATTTGTTGGATTTTTGAGAACCGATTATGCATCTGGGAAAGTATATCCATTTTCTTCTGTCCTATCACTAGGGCAAAATGGGGTTAAAAATAGGTGTGGATAATATATACTACATATCCCAGGTTAAGTGATAGCCTGCTGAAGGAGCATGCACATTTTCTGCTTGTGTATGTATATGTCTATACATACATGCTGTGACTAGTGACTTAAGGCTTCAAAATGTGTTGTGTGAAAGTATCCATGGGAGGCAACCCAGCGAAAACACTGCTTCTGTGCAACCACCACTTATTTATTTCAAATAAATGCAGCTCATGTGAGGGTAGTGCTTTGAGGACTGATCCCCCAGTCAATTTAATTAGAACAGTTCTCCTTTAATACAAGATTCCCTTTCCTTATCCTGATGACTTTGATGCTCTTTTAGGTTTGAGATAACCATAAAATGGAACAGCATACTCATCTGTTACCTTGACAACAGCAAGGCTTGCTGCAGGCAGTGATGGAGAGGCTTCAATTGCACATGCACATCGTGTTAATTTTTCCTTGTGGCATTATTGCTGATTATCTCTGTCTACAGTTACTTATTTCATTTTTTTTGGAAAAATTATAGTTTTGAGCTCTGAATGAATCACGATATTTCTAGAACAAGTCCTTTCCCCCAGCCAAATGTCTAAACTTAAGGAACCAGGAAGTGTGTAAACAGCAGCATGGAACAATCCTGAAATCTCCCAATTTTTTAATGTATTGAAACATGACACACACCATATACGGTGTTATCTGGGAAACAACAACTGCCTTGTACTGTAATTCCTAGCATTGCTTAATAAGACCTTAAACTGAGTTCAGAGGGCTTTTCTGTCTGAAGCTTTGCAAACTGAAGCTGCTTAATTTCAGTATTTATTTTAAATAACTTGTTTGTGTTCGATGCCAATTGTGAAATCAATTATTAATTCATAATTGTAGTCTGTGTTTATACAGCATAATTTCCATAAATATCTGCTATGTAGGAAATATTGCCAGGATTATACAATATTTGGACACCAGTTGTGTAGCTACAAAGAAAAAAAACTGAAGTCTTTAAAAAATTTGGTAGTTTTTTAAAGGTAATCAGTGGGTTGGATCCAGACTGAATTAGCTGATCTTAGGTACTATTGAAACCAATGGGATAAGTTAGTCATGGCTTAAATTTAAGTATCATTTATTTCACTGTGAACTAAGTTCAGCTGATTTAGACTGAGTCCAACTCTGAATAGTACATTTTTCATTTATATGTAGTATAGTGTAGCATTTTTGTATCAGTTGTATAGGTATTTCAGTCAATTGGGTATTTCAAATACCCGAACCATTCAGTAAAAGAATATTACAATTTTTTTCTTGCTGTTTTACAGGAGCAAATAAAAGCATGTTCTTTACTTAGAACGTTCTTTAATTTCCCCTCAGAGAAATATGGCCTGGGCAATGCTAGCTTCTGGTGTGAAATCTTGAAATGAATTCATAGCCAGAAGCAGCAGCCCAACATATACCAATAACAGCCGTCCTGTTAGAGTAAAATTAGCAATGATCTTAACACCAAGTATTTTGCTAAAAGAAATTCACTTTCCATTTTGAGGCCATTGCTAACTACTTAACAGCAGCACCCTATTTTATTACCTTGGGTTGCCTCCTGAGTGACGGCTGCTTTCTTTATTCTCTCAGCAATATTGTAAGGTTTCCTTGACAGTCTTGTCAGTATGAAGGGGATGGTGGAGTCTGCCAAGAAATACAGGATAGCTTTAGCACCTCATGGAAGGCATGTGGATTCCAGGCTCAAATCCAGAGTGGTTGTTTGCTTTGCCAACCTGAAGCCCATATTTGATGCAACGAGAAGTGCTTTGTTCCTTAAATAAAGCATTTCAACCCACACAGTATATTATGATAGCTCAGTTTTGTTGTTAATTTTTTCCCCATTTATTTTGGGGTTTTTTTGCAGGTTAGTAAGGAAATCATAAGAGAAATGTATGAAGGGAAAATAGGGTTCTGCCTTCCACCATGCCCAGCAGCCTGGTATTTTTTTGGGGGGGGGCGGCGGCTTAGTTTTGCACAAAACATGTGAAAAGCCAGCTTTACAAAAAAAAAATTAACGTGATCCTCATTATAGATACCATTGCAAATTCTCACGTTTGAAGAAGCTGTAATTTCTCCTTTTTAAAAAATCAAGTAACCCATTATTTTTTGACAGAACTGGTGATTTTGAAAGGGGAGTGGCAAGGGGAGTATATTGGATGGCAACACCACATTCTAACACCAACCCAGTGGAGTAGCCTACTAGCAATGGGTTTACTGCTCTGTTTCTTTCTCCTTGCCATCACCATCCTCTTCGTCCTCTAGGTCACTTTGGGATTCCTGCCACCTTACAGTGGTCTACTTGGGAATAAAATGACTGCCACCTTAGCTCAGGTCTTCTGCTTGGTAGCTTCAGCCCATCATTCCTCCTGATCTCCCACGCCCTTTAACCCGGGGGTGTAGCCCACAACGTCTTGAGTAATGCAAAAACACTTAACAGCCCTTGAGCTTGACCCAGAGGCCAGTACTGCCCAGAAATGCAGTTGAGAAATTTATTTAAGAGGGGGTGGAGTGGAGAAACAGTGGGCATGCACAGAGTATCGATCTATCCAACTGTATGCTGCCATGCCTTGTGCTGACCATGATTAATAGCTAAAGGGGCAATTGACCATTGAGGAGGACCCACATAGTTGGGGGGATGCTGGAGAAGATGCAGTTAACACCAACCTTCACCTGAAGAAGGTATGGTGATGGTGATGGCTAGGCCTTTCCTGCCAGACAGAAATGTGAATACATGGGATGCCAGTTTAGGACGTGACTGGCAAGGCAGCATGATACGGAGTTTGCTATTCCAGCCTATTCCATGGAAGATTTTAAATGTCAGTCTATACAGTTTCAGGAATTTGTGACTGGTGGGCAGGGGATTCTCTTTATGTAGTGTTGGTCTCCCCCCACCCTTTTAAATGATGCTTATTAGTGCCTGGATCTCAGACTTTATTATTTGTTACATTGGGTTGGATCTAGACTTAGTTGTACAGTGGTACCTCAGGTTACAGACGCTTCAGGTTACAGACTCCGCTGACCCGGAAATAGTTCCTCGGGTTAAGAACTTCGCTTCAGGATGAGAACAGAAATTGCGGCGTGGCGGCAGCGGGAGGCCCCATTAGCTAAAGTGGTACCTCAGGTTAAGAACAGTTTCAGGTTAAGAACAGACCTCCAGAATGAAGACTCTTGACTACCCCAATTTTTGTTGTTCTGCTTTGGCTTTTGAATGTCACTGTGAGTTTTATAGAACTGAGTGTCTGATAACGTTTAACCAATATTTAACATCTTATTCAAAATGCCTTATGTACAAGAAGTTTTAATTTATGCGGCACCTAAGGTTTCAGTTTACTGTAGTATATATTGTAGTATTCATTTATCCACAGCTTTTATTGAATACAGTATGAGTAAATCACAGCTTTGTTATTTGTTAAAAGATGAAACTAATGATAGTTCAGATTCCACCATCATATTGCATCTTATGCACTTTTTAAAAATTGCTGTGAATCTTTCAAGTAAAGATAGTGCTTTTTTTAAAAAAAAAGAAGGTTTGAACTGCCCTTTGTTTTACATTATTAAAAAGAACAGAGTGGTGCTCTTTCTGGAACACGTATTGGATTTGTTGCTATGTGGGTTAGAAAGAAAATCTGCTTAATGCAGAAATAAGATCCTGAATCCTAAAGAGGTGCTGTGGACAAAAGGTAGATTGGGGTCTACTAGTAGATCTCTCAGTATGTTACAGTAGATCAACAAGGGTTCAGATTCTAAATTATTAAATAATTATTAAATCATATGGACAACAGAAAAGCTTCCCTTCCACCTTGCCAAAACCAAACAAAAAAGCTGTAGCATTTTGTGGATTTTTGAGTTACAGGATTCTGACCTCAGTTCTGGAACTGAAAGCAAATTATTGAGTTGAGAATGTGTCCAGAGGCACAGTGACCCTGTTCCTTAATTCTAAGAATATGGTCACCCTCCTGACCCACCATTTTGCATCTGGCTCCAAAGAAAAGCAACCTCATTATTACCGATGTCCACAGTTATATGTGCACAACAGTTATTTCCTTTAAGAGAGGGGTGGCTAACATCTGACCCTCTGGATGACGTTGGACTACAGCTCCCATTATCCCTAAGCACTGGCTATAGTGGAAGCTTGGGCTGATGGGAACTGAAGTCACACAACATTTAGAGGGTCACTGGTTCTCCATCCTTGCTTTAAGAACATATGAACCCCCCTTCTCAATTAAATCAGTGTTCTATCTAGCCAGCCAGATACTCTAGGAAGCTCGGAAGCAGGGTATGAAAGCAGTAGCTCACCTCTAGAGTAGTAGTAGGTTTTAGACGTGAGCTTTTGGATGGTTTAGTTGACTTATTACCGTTATCTCTCCCTCCAGGTTTTCCACACATATTCTAATGAAGATTATGACAGGAGAAATGATGAAGTAGACCCGGTGGCTGCATCAGCAGAATACGAACTAGAAAAACGTGTGGAGAAGCTGGAGCTTTTCCCAGCAGAGCTTGAAAAAGGTATGCATTCTACAAATGCTATGCTGCAGAGCATTTTTTTTAATGTATAAAGTGTCATACAGATATGTAGTAGAATTGCAAGACTTTGCCAGAAAGGGGTCATGAAAAACCTGCCATAGCTTAATATGCAGTGTGCAATTTGTATAAATAATTCTTGGATATTAAATAGTAACATATAGTATTATATTATATTATATTATATTATATTATATTATAATATTAATCCAGTTGAGGTAACATGTTAATTCACATCTGTGTATGCAGTAGAACATTGGCTTCTCACCTTGTCAACCTCAAGTAATCTCCTGAGGGGTTGATCCCCCTCATATCCGCAGTCACAAACCTGTTTTCAGAAACCCCCTTTGAGGGCTCATTCAGACTTCCTTTTGTGCTACATTTCCAGGCACAAGTCCAGGCTTTAAAGTTCCATATCTGAGCAGTTTTTGTTTTTTTGCTTTATCCCAGTGCTTCTCCAGATTGCCATTTGCTCCAATTCAGTGGTAAAAAAACAGGTTTTCTCTGGAAAAGCAACAGGACAAAAAACAAAAACACTTGGACACGGAGCTTTAAAGCCCAGAACTGTGCCTGGCAAGCACAGTGTGAAGGGAAGCCTGGACGAGCCCTCAGTTTCAAAATAGATTTGCCAAGTGTCTCTTTGAGATATGTGTGAGTAGGGTTTTTGGTATCCAGATCTTAATGTTTAATGCACTGGTTCTCCCCCCCCTCCCAATTTCTGTTATGGAAAGCTGCTTTTTAGAAGTATCCTGAACTCAGTATATATTAGTGGGCCATAATTCCTTTGAACACGGGATTTCTTGATTGGCAGCCATGGCAGAAGGAGCAAGATAGGCTTCCTTCTCCTTCCATTGCAAAAAACGATTGGGGCTACTTGACTTCCATGATAGGAAATAAGAAATACTGTAAGTCCATTGAAATGCTATGGCTTTATGAGTTAGGGAGGATGAATGACAATGTGTGTTTTACTCTTTGTACATGCAGTTATAAAGTCATAAACAAAAATTTCATGGAAGGTTTTACTCAGGTGGGGAGAGAGAACAGGATTCAAAATGTACTAATCCAAGTGTGAAAAATGCTTAACAAATATATGGATCTGCTTTGATTTATCTGCTTCTCAGATGAAGATGGACTTGGCATCAGCATTATTGGAATGGGAGTTGGAGCAGATGCAGGCCTTGAGAAACTGGGCATTTTCGTCAAAACAGTAACAGAAGGTGGAGCGGCAGAAAGAGATGGCAGGTGAATAATAATACAGTATGCTGTTGTGACTATAGATTGGGATTGCTTTAAAATACAGCTCCTGTCTGATTTTGTTCACAGGCTTCATCCAAAACCTTGTAGCTAAAGGTTTTCTTGAGGCCCCTATTCCTAGTATGGCCTTCTAATTGGCTGAAAACCTACTTGAGCCTATGAACGTTCACCACCAGTTCTCAAAAACATTTCTGTTCATTGAAACGTTGCTTTGTTCTGCAAATAGCGTTGTCAGGTGGACTGTTTCATGGGTGAGAAGGGAAATAAAGCACCCTCTCGTTTGGGAATGATCCTTCTAACCTCACAGCAAGTCTGGATTTCAGTGCAGACCAAAATCTGTACAGAATCTGCTCCATCCCAGAACTAATATTGTTTGTTTCATATTTCTAGCCACAACTTTATCTTTTCACAGTATGTAACATTCCCCCCCCCCGAGCTTTACTTGCTGTGTACATTCATTGATTTATTGGTATGTAAAATTAAGTTTTGTATGTCTCCATGGCAAGCTGCTACATATTTGTTGAATGTATCAGGACCCTTTTTTCCGATGGGAAAACTTGCTATCTATTTCCCCCCTACTTGCTGTAGCTTCAGTGCACAAGCAGTGTTTTGCTTGTTTTGGAGGCTCATGGTGCACAGATTCTCTACTTTTGAGACAAAATAATGTCGTATTCCCTCAAAATAACTGTGATTATCTATGTATGGTTGACCTTGCACCATTGCGTTACCTTCAGAATGCGGAGTGCTTGGGGAAAAATTGTTTACTTTTCCAGGTCACTCCCCGCAAAATACCCTTTCATGGGTCAAAAGTGAAATTTAAAGTAAAATACAGCATGATTTATATAGGTCATCTCCTTGCTCTATAAAAGTGGAGTGATGTTATATTGCAAAAGGAAACTGAAGCTCTTACAGAATGAAATCTAAAAGTAAAGTCAAATCAATAATTTAAAAAAGTCCCAGGCTGTGTTGCAAAGGAAAACCTCTCCTTTTGCCAATATTCTAGAATAGAAAAGCAGAAATCAGTATATAATTCTATGGATCTTGATGGTTCCTTGAAAAATGTGCCAATGTGCCTAAATATGAACGATCATATATACCAAGGATTGCCAATATGGGACCCTGCAAATACTGTTGAACTGCAACTCCCATCATCCTTGATTTTTGGCCAAGCTGGCTGAGGTTGATGAGAGTTGAGGTGTCTTCATAACATATGGAGAGCACTACATTGACTACCTCGGTTGATATGCTGTGATATAATATGATATATTGTAGTGCACTACACTATATAGTATTATATACTAACTGACTCCACTACAATGATATTAAAATTGTTAGGCTAGCTGGCTTCAATGGAGGCAGCCCCCACAACAGCAGGGGATCGTCGGCAAACGAAAAAAAAGGATGACTGAGGGTAAATCATCCTTGCAAATTCCCCCCAGGGACGGTGGGAATAGGCTTCACTCGCAGTTCATCTTGGTACCTGGCTCTCGCTCTAGCATGGAATGTTGGAAGCAGGGAGGCACTGAGTGCAAAAGCACTTCACCTGGCAAAAACCCTCCTACGCCGCCATTAAGAAGCAGAGGTTCTCCGTTTAATTGCATCTTTAATTCTTTAAAGTACTGGTGTGTGATGGAAAAGGGTTGCAACAACATACTGTCGAATATACCAGCTACATTAGGCAAAGGCAAACTCCGGCCCTCCAGATGTTTGGGACTACAATTCCCATCATCCCAAGCTAACAGGACCAGTGGTCAGGGATGGTGGGAATTGTAGTCCCATACTTCTGGAGGACCAGAGTTTGCCTATGCCTGAGCTACATGGATCAAAGGTTTGAATTGAGATAAGTTTTTCTTTGGTGTGAGAGTTGGTTGGGGAGAGTGAAACCCATGGTTTGTTTATTCTAAGCTTGTTTTATATATTTATGATTCGGCAACCCTCTCTGGAAAAAAGATAAAAATATATTTACAAGTGAGGAAGGGACGTTGGAGTAATATAGATATTAACGAGCAAAATAGAAATGCACCCAAACCACCATGCGGGGAGCCACTTTAACTGAAATGTATTAATTGGAAGTTGACTGACATTTTGATAATTGTATAATTTGGGAATTAATTGTTATTGTTATAATTCGGCTATTATTGGGGGTATATTGGAAAAATAATTTATTTTTTTAGAAAAAAAATTGTTAGGCTATTTTGACTAAATGTGCAGCAAACAGATTTCATCAGTGAGACAATTACTGGGTTCCAAGCATTGATATCTAGATCAAGATAAACTAGATTGTATGGCTGCTCATCATATGCATCCAGAGTTGATGGAGGACCTTTTTGGCTCCACAGGCCAGATCCTTATTAGGATCAGCCTTGTGGACCAAATTTGACAGGTGAGCAAGGCTGCCTACCTATCAATCACATGATGCCGCAATGACATCATGTGCAAAGTGCTTTAAAGTCCCTAATTAATCTTGCAACTGGAGGTTCCCCACCCTGTCCACCGTTTTTTGCGTGAAATCTCATGCAGGTGGATGCAGTGGACTGGAGCATGCCTAGAGTATGATTTTATACAGGGTAGGGTAGATGTTATGAGCAAGATTTGCTTTTAAACATTGTTTTCTATAATAAGAGAAATTAGCTACACCCACATGCTGACTAATGTACTTCAACTGGAAATTAAATTTCTTATGTTAAGGACCTGATTCTGTAACTTATATCTCAAGTACAGCCATTGAATACATTTTGTCCACTCCTGAATAAATGATACTCTGATTCTGTAAGGGTTGCAAAAAATTATGGTAAGTGCCAGCTATTCAGCTGAAGATAAAATGCCAGATTTTTTTTCTTTTCTTAAGCTCTGACTCTCTTGAAACCCCCCTTCCCCATTTAACAGTCGCAATATATAATTAGATTTTAGCTGCTTAGGCGTACTTGGGTATGAAAATACCTCCCTTATTTGGAGCCTATGAAAAAAGAATGTGTTATGCAGAGATTATGCCAAACCACCTGACGTCTTTCCAAAAATGAGTCAGAAACAAGAAGGAGGCATAAGCAAGTAGGGAAGCAGGGTCGAAAATAACTCCATGAAGTTTAATTCTGAATTAATAGTTTTTGAGCAGTTTGTTTCTTTGTTTAAAAAGCCCTTATATCTCACCTTATTTTCAGAAGAAACTTGCGGCAGATAACAAATCAAAATGCCACTCAATATTTAAAACATATTTCAGTTCCCATTCCTAGCCAAACACTGGGAAACCAAAATATTAGCACAATATTTTTCTTCTTCTGGTTCCTCTTTTAAGAATTCTGCTGTTTTAGAGGACTGTTTAGAAGTAAGTTTGACGAGTAAGTGGGACTTTCAGGGGAGACCTTCCTGGTGGATTGTGCCTAATTGCCTTCACCCGTTCGCCGCAAAAAGGCACAACACTGTCTTATTTTTAATACACAGTAGTTCAGAACAAAATGTAGTAGAAAAAGAATTTAATTAAGTCTGGAGTATTCACACTCACCCCATACAACTCCTAGCGCCCATAACAAACTACAGTTCCCAGGATTCTTTGGGGGAAACCATGTGCTTTAAATGTATGGTGTGGGTGTGACCTTAAGAGGGACCAGGGAGCTGTGGAGCTGCAGATCTTCCTTTGCATCTGTAGCCCTGCTTGCTGCTCCTGGCTGGAGTGAAAGGAGCAGCATGACTCCCAATTCTGGGCTATCTGCAGCTTGGTGCAGCAGTGTCTCTCTCCAGGGAATGGACTGTCCTATGGGCTGCAGGTCCATGCCCAGTCCTGCCCTTCCACTGCAACACCCTATTTTGGAGCCCAACACCAGTTACTGCCAATAGAGCACCAGCAGCAGCAGCAGAGGCCAGAAGACGGAGACATCTGCTAAATCTTAACCCCACCCTCTCCTGCAGAATGGAGTGGGGTTAGGAGGGCAGCCTTTGGTGTTTTTTTCAAGCCACAAAATTATCTCATTTTAGAATTTATTTTTATTTATTTTTTTAAAAAACCTGTCTGCATATTGGAAGAAATGAATTTCAAAATATTAAATGAAAATGAACCATAAATGATCGTTTTAAGTTTGCTCATTAATCTACATATACTGGAAGCTGGAAGCTAGTAATGTATTGCCACTTGTTAAGTAGCTGCGCTTCCAACCAACTAACTAGCTAGCTAATCAGCCGGTTGCCTCTTTTATGAGCAAGAAATGTGTTTGACATTGTAGAATGAAAACATACTATGATTTGAAAATTGAAAATTAATGTCTAAATCTGTAAATCAACATAAAAAATAATACAACTATTGTTCCCAGAAAGGCGCTTTTTGGGGCCCATCCATTACATGCATTACTTATTTTTTAAAAAAATACAACACGTATGACATTGAACAGGACTGCACAACACCCTATAGAGCACGTAGCCTCAGAATATGAAGATAAAACAGGAATTATGGACTGTGAAGTGAGGAGACAAGCAAGTTAAAATATTTTAAAAGGATGCTGATTAAAGTTACTTCTTTGTCCTCTGATTTCTACTGCACAAAATTATAGACCTCAAAGGCACATGAAAGTCATGGAGCCCAACTCTCTGTCCTAAGGCAAGACTGTGTACAAATTAACCCCCTTAGAGATGAACCCACACTATCCAGTTATAAAGTACCAGACGCAACAATGGGAGTGGATAAGGCTTTGCCATAAGCAAGTAATAGTTTAATAAATAGAGAGCGCAGGCAAGTGACTTTACTGCTATGTAAAGGCTGGATCGATTTTTTTTTTTTACTGATAAACAGTTCCCAAATGAAGGATGGTAATATGGCTTTTGCAGTTATGTCATTTAGAAATGGTTGCATTCTTCAGATTTTTTTGTCTTGTTTTTGTTTTGATATTTGTTATCAATTAATATACCAGGGGTCACAAACCAAGGACCATCCCTGAAGGCTTTCATTGGTTCCCCAGACTCTGGCCTTTCATTAAAAAAGAAGTATATCTCTAGCCCTCCCA